AAAAAAAGTGTATTAAATATCAAGACTTGTTTATTTTCGCTTGCGATTTTTTTTATGTTACAATAGTGCTTGTAAGTATACAGCCCATATATTAGTAAATGTTTAACGTAGGCAATGGACATCTCTAACACCAGACACCTTAACACACACTTCTTGAAAAACCCCATGCTGTAGTACCTAGAGAAAATCTCGACATATTATCCATTACGATTAAACTTTTAACATCGCCACGTAGTTTAATATAGTTTGCTTAATACTGGAGACATAAACAGGAACATGCATAGATGCACAAAAAGTTTACTGTTAATATTCAAACTCACGACCGCTGAGATCTAAATCGGGATGTTAATCCACTAGACCATAACGCTATCGAGTTAAATAGGCATATAATGCAGGCATGTAGGTACACGGAATTTATTGTCGTTCGTATTCAAACTCACGACGTCTTGGGTGTGTATCGGGATACTATTCCACTAGACCACAACGCTCTCACTACTCTCTAGTTTAATATAGCCAATAATATTATTATATTAATAATACAAACAATCCAACTTGAACTGATTCATTGAAGCAGCAGTGCATGACGTATGCACCACTTGATAACCGAAGCAGGCAATATTAGAAACTTCTAGAAAGTTAAATAAAGCCTGGAATAGAGGAACTGAGAGTACTATTAACGTTAATTTAATTTTTATAGCATAGGGAACAAACCAGCTTGCAGCTCACCTGATGGTAAGTGATTACCGCCGCCCATGAGCACCCGTAACACTAAGGGAATTGCAAGTATGTTGCCGGCCTTTTAAGATTCAATTAACCAATAAAAAAAAAACAATTAACATGTATTATCGGAGAATTAGAGAAAGAGACAGAAACTCTATCTACATGTGACACCCAGATCGATACAAACAATCATACTTATGTTTGTTGTATGTATTATTACAAATGTATGTACCGTGCCACCGATACCCGGTCTAGCGGTTTAGCTCATCACTTTATGTCCGCTGGACGAGGGATCGATTCCTCGCACGGCACATACATTTGTATTTATAAGTATGATTGTTTGTATCAATTTGGGTGTTTTCTATATATGTCTACATAGGCATAAAATGATATCGCTTCCGCTGTCTGTATAGTATTTCCCTTAAACGGGAAGAATGCAGTTTTTAGCTATAGATAAATTCATGAGGTAGGTTTATTATGTATACATGAGCACCCGAAGCCGGAGCTACAAAAAATACGTAATATATATTCCTTTTTCAATTTGATGAAAAACTGTTTTTTAAACGAAATCATATCTAAAAGTATCAATTTTTTACAATCATTAGATCTCTCTCAAAAGCAAATCATAAGTCGACAACAGATTCGTCTGTGCCTCATATTTCATGATGTCGTATCGTATAAAGAAACCTAATATTATTTTAGCTTGAAAAAACCTAAACTTAGTATAAAGTAACATTGACTTATATCCTTTTTTAACACATTAGACCCTAATCGAGTTTCGCGGAACCTTTATATTTATTACCTGAACACTGTCCTATAAATATGTATCGATTTATGTATCGATTGGAATCGACGCAAAGAATAAAGTATCGATTATTTATCGCCAGATCTCCAGCGCTGCGGATTTTTTGAATTCAACAAAAAAGGAACACGCATATGGAATTTAGGTACATTTACGCGTTTGACCCTTGTACGCGTAATATAGCAATTTAAAACTTATTGCATTACAATACAACTGATATTTATATCGATATAAATGTTGAAACATGTTGAAAGTATAATTAATATTGATCAGAATTTGGAAGGGCATTGTAATAAAAAAATTACAAATTGATGTTTTTACGATCGATCAAATTTTTGAAATTATTTTTAAAGAATCTCAAACGAAGACTGCCTATGTAAAGCACAGGCTGTATATATTTTAAATTATTATTGAAAATAAAATAAAACAAAAAAAATAAAAAAAGGTATGCTGTATGTTGTGTTGGCATTCGGAATGTAATATAATATACAATAATTAAGTAATCCAGTATTAGAGATAATAAACGCATTATTTATTTTCACATAGACTAACTTCAAGATATTAACAATAGAGTCCTTGTGTAAAAATGTATGGTATTCACCTGAACGGCGTCAGTTTGATACAATATATCAACTCTTAAAGTTTTAGCTTTAAAGTTCAATATAAAACAATTAAAATTTTTAAGTCAGTATGATTCTAGGTATGCGATATATCAGAGTTTACAATTTTTATATCATTATAATTTAACTGTTATTGTAAAATCGAACCAGCGTTCTTATGCACACACATGAGTGCGTTGCGGTTTCTATTTTTATTGTCGTATGCCTATTCCTTGATAATGTGTATTTACTTAGAACAACATTTACTGAAAGAGCAACACGCAAGTTTCTTGCTCGTTCTTCTTGTGATGAGTCTGCGTTCCGAATGAGTGGTAGAATAAATAAAATATGACTTGCTTATATTAAGTTTATTTGAATAAAGATTATTTCTATTTCATTAACAACTAACAATAAGATGCAATTTTAAATAATACAAGTCTTTGCACGCGACCTTATCGACGAGAGAAAAATAAATCAAATGTTTTTATTTACTTATGTCCATCATTCCCAAATATTACCTATATTTATAAGGATAAAGTAACTTTTAGCTGTTGAACCCTAAAAATGATCAAGGAGTTTTCCATCAGCTCGGCCTCCCTCAAGTACGAATCCTCAGCATTAAGTTGGTTTTATTGCCGTCAGTGCCGAAGATAAGACCCCGAAGATGTATGATTATTATGCAAACAGTCGAAAAAAGATAACCTGGACCGAGGCACGATAAGCGGCAGGGGTCCACTCGTTTTGGCGCCAAAAAGTCCAAAAAAAACCACACGAGAATGGCTTTAAAGCGTGAATTTTTATTAAATCATACATCAAAATTTTTATCATCTCATTTATCAGGGATCGGATGACGCCGAAATTAATTTAGAATACACAAAAATTGATAAGAATGATGGGTTTAAGTAGATACTGACGTGTGGATTTTAAATGGCAGCCCTTTAATTTTTTTATGTGATGGATTGACGTCCTGTCCACTGTAGGGACTGACATGTTGTTTCGCGGAAATCAAGCGGTTCGAGTCTATGTGACGGCGATATAAAACGTTCCGTCGATTTACATTTTCAACTAACTCTCCGGTGGTGGAAACATCTATAACAGACCAAATGAATCTAAAAGACGACAGGCTCATCCATTGGCAGGTTGGATTCCATATACCCGCGAAATGTGGATATATCAAGTGCAAAATATTAATCATAACGTCGGCAATTGACAACGGCTCTGGCTATCCCATTTTTGATAACAGTAGTGAAAATATATATATATATGTTTATAGAAATAAATATTTTAACAACAATTCGTGGAATAAAAAGAAAAATGACATTTTTTTAAATTAGAAGCTATAATTACCTCCTTTTAGGTATAAAAGTCAATTAAATTAACCACGCCATCTTAATCATTATCTAAATACTTTTAAAATGATATATAATACTTCTGTGTAAATTTAAAAATTTTAAAGGAATTCAAATAAATAAAAAACTTTAAATGCTTATCTTGTAAAAAAATGTACATTTTGAATACTGCCATTTTTCTATTTAACCGACGAAATATTCTCTGCAACCTATAGTTGACTGGTAGAAATTACCGCACGGTGCTAAGTCTGTCAAATGTAAGTACTTTTTGTAATGTGTGCATTAAAGTTGTGAAATATAAAATAAAACATATAAATACATCAATAACAATAACAAACACATTAAACAATCATATACCAGTACCAAGTACCGTATCAAAGAAACTGCAAATGTAACAGTACAAGACAAGGTATGAAAATGTTTCTGCTAAGTAATTAGAGGGCGCAAGTGCGCGTGCGCAGTCGAACAATTGAAGTGCGACAGAGAAATGGCTGTATTAACATAAACTGCATATGGCATTAATGATAATGAGGGTACTCTTTTGTACCTTCCACTTATGGCCCGGTTGTTTCGTGGCTAATAAATATTCCAGGGCTCAAACATTTAAATATACATTGTAGTTTATCTTCACGCCAGTTCTCTATTGGGCGGGCAGAGAGTAAAATACTTTTTTTTTATTGTAAGATTTTTTTAATTTACACTTATTGAAAAAAATATTACTTAAGTCTATATGATATTATTCTGATGCATAAGTTCTAATATATTACTGTAAAGTTTCATTACATTATGTTCAATAGGTTTTGCGTGCTCACAAACTTTGGCGTTTATAATATTATTAAGATTGAAGGACTAAATAGGACTTTAAACTTATGGTGTATAAGGTCTATTGTTATTAAAGTCCAAATTGTCATTGTTATAAATAATTAAATACTATCAGCTGATATATATCCTACCACATTACAGCCAGCTGACTGTTTTATTTATTGAAAATAGCGTATAAACTAATATGTGGCAAAGTGACAGGAAAACACAGAATTTTTTGTTTACATTATCGTGTATCTGCTGACTACAACCCTTGAAAAGCTGGATCTCCTATCTTAAGTATTTTAAAAAAGAGGGCTTTTAACATTAAATCTGCTTTTTCTATCATATTTCATAAGTTCAATAGTTATATAAAAACATATATTAAATATGTGTGTGATTATTTTATTGTATACTAGCTATTCCCGCGACTTCGTCCGCGTGGAATTTAACTTAATTTTTATAAAATAATAGAATTTTCTAATATAAAAGCAGCCTAAGTTACTCCTTATTACATAAGCTACCTGCCAAAAAAAGTCCCGTCAAAATCGGTCGAGCCATTTTAGAGATTAGCCGGAACAAACAGACCGACAGACAGACAAAAATTATAAAAAATTGTTTTGGTACATGTACCATATGTTCATATGCATGTAGTAAAAAACGGTTATTTCAATATTACAAACAGACATTCCAATTTTATTTATATGTATAGATATATACGACACTTACCTTTGTTCTGTAGAGAGGATTGGAGAAGTCCCAGCCTGGTGCCACGAATAGGTATCCGCATTTGGACACCTTCCGACTCGCCTGCAAACAAGAAATTAATGCATAAATTAAAAAAATCTATATAAAATAAAGTCTCTATCAATCAACTACTAGAAATATCGTGACGAACGAAAACTATCTGTGTCTGTTTGTATAGAATAGAACAGAAATTTCTTTATTCGACTTTAAATTGGTATTATATGTAGGTTGTACTCGTACATACGAATTTAATGTTGAGAAAAGGCTGTCGATTTTTACGTACCTCTGTAAAAATCAACATCCTTTTTTCGACCTTTCATATTATTCTATTCTAAATTTTCTATAAAGCTCCCAAGTATTCAATAGAACAGTCTTATAATACAATATAATTATTTGTACTTTGATTTTTTTTTTCATTTTTTTTTACATGAGAATCACATATTTGGCCTGTACAGCTGTCATGCAACATATTCATTTAAATCAATTGACTGTATGTATATTATTCAAGAGCCTTTGACATAAAAACAAAGGTTTAGATTTTGAGCTGAAAATATAATAATGAAACAACCTCCCAGTCATAAAATATAGTCCCATCAGACTAAATCGTGCAATCATTAAACGCAATTCGTAAATCCTTAATGCTGCGTCGTGAAAAACGGGCCAAGTCCAAAGAATTTGATTATTTTTATTTTAAAAAAAAAAAACAGGTGTTTTAACGTGAATATCTGACGCGTTAGTCGTGTTGCAACAGACTGGCGTTATTAATATTGTAATGTAAAACACGAGTTCAAAACACGGTTCCTTTTTTTGGGTTCTCGCCATTATCGTGTCGGTAAATTATTTTTTTTTTTAAAAGATAAAGCTGATATTTTTGTGTACGAGATTGAAGATAAGTGGATAAATTAATTTTTATTGTTTTTTTTTTATTATGACGGACAAATGATCGGTTGAGCGGTTTCTTAGTATCACATGATTAGTTACTAAAAAGTTTGTCAATTAAAAATTCGACAGCTTCGGTGGTCTAGCGGTTTAGCACACCGCCTTCTGATGGTCGCGGGTTCGATTCCTCGCACGGCATAAACATTTATATTCATGAGTATGATTGTTTGTATCAGTCTGGGTGTTTTCTATGTATAATATGTACGTATTTATTTACGAAAACAAAAATATATATGTATTTGTGGCAATTATCTGGTACCTATAACAGAATCTATAGCTAGCAGAACTTGGGTCTAAATGGCGCTGTGTGAATTGTTCAGAGATTATTATTATTATTATTGTAAAATAATTAAAAATGCTAACTAAGGTCACTACACTATTCCACGCGGACGAAGTGAAAATTATTTGAAAAGAATACGAGCTCAGTTTCTTCTCATCTCGAAATCATTCCGAACTGACGGTAGATTGGACATATCGTAAGAGTCTGTAATAGGAATATGGATTATCATTGAAGATTTTTTATTGATTTACACAATTATAACTTGGTCAGAATGGAGTTACATTGCTCATAGGGTTGTGGTTGTAATCATTACATAGTATAAAACAAAGTCGCTGTCGCTGTCTGTCCCTATGTATGCTATCTTTAAAACTACGCAACGGATTTTGAAACAGTTTTTTTAATAAATAGTGATTCTAGAGAAAGGTTTTCATGTATAATACACGTACACTTGTGTGAAGCCGGGGTGGGTAGCTAGTACGTGAATAAAGATGCTTTAATTTTTTTTTTATTTGCAATTTGAAAGTCGCGGCCACAGCTAGTATTCCATTTTTTTATGAGAATCATGGTGTAGGGTACATTGACATTTCGCACAACAAAACAATGGCATTCCGGTATTATTTTACACAACATCATCAAAACTCTTTGTGTTGCGATCAACGTGCGGCCGTTTGGTCGTAACTGCTATTATTATTGACTTCACAAATAAGAGACTTGGACATTTATTAATGACTAGCTGTACCGGCTAGTTGGAATTTACTCTTTATTACATCAGCTACCTGCCAAAAAAGTCCCGTCAAAATCGGTTCAGCCATTTCAGAGATTAGCCGGAACAAACAGTCAGACAGACAAAAAATGTTATTTTGTTGTATGTACGGTATAGTAAAAACGGTTATTTCAATATTACAAACAGATATTCCCATTTTATTTACATATATGTATAGATGTTTATTTAGTCATATCTAATGACGAAATTCATAATATAGATACATTTTTTTTCGGACTACTCTAATGCTGCTGGCCGCAGCTGGCCTTTACAGCTTCACCGGACGATAAGGAGCGAGTGCAGATGACACTCCACGCCCGCAGAAGGACTTATGGACCGGCTGAAGGCCAACTCCCGCCTGATAGAGCTAGGACTAAATTTTCCGTTAAAATTGGTCCAGCTTTGTTAAAGCTTAGCAAGAACAAACAGACTTACTCCTTACAATATCAGCTGTCTGCGAGTGAAAGACCCGTCAAAATCGGTCCAGTTTTCTTTAACGATTAGCAAGTACAAACAGACAGTTAATTAGCCAATTTTTTTTTAATTTTGGACATTCAGAAAAAATCTTATCCAAACCTTCCAGCTGTCATTGTCAGAACTATGACATTTATCATCGCACTTTTTATTATCTGTACTTGCTCTCTAGTAAAAAAAAACTTGTAAACTTTTTTATATGGGCACCTCGCTAACAGTAAATCATTATGACGTCACCGCTGACAGGTCAATGGCCCCTGATGTCACATGGCATGTTGTGTAATGTGTACATACCTTTGATTGTTCCTTTTGCGGGCCCCATTATAATGCTATAATGTGCTATTCAATTCGAAAATTGCCATATTTCGCCGAATTGAGATGTACAAGAACCATTAGTGTAAATCTGTACTTCCTAACCTATTCTAATGATGTAAAACCGTAAATTGCGCGGCGGACTTGTGCATCGAGGGTTCAGTACAAATAATTAAATATTTATACATATAATAAAAATAATTAAATAAATATGTACCTAGGATTAAAAGACATTTATTAAGATTGTAAATTCAAATCTAAAAAAAAAAACAAAAAATAATGCGTCTTCTCTTTTTATACAGTCTAATTCACCGATGATGGAAACACCGTTAACACATCAAAATGAATCCGAGAGTCTGCATTAAGATTCCATGTATCCCGTGAAACGCGAGCATGTCAAGTGTAACGATCTTCACTATAGCGACAGACAATGACTGACTGTCTACTGACGGTACGGCAAAATATTAATACAAAAAAAAATACGTTTATAAGCGGCTCAAATGTCCTACATGAATAAATTATTTTTGATTTGATTTGAGTACACCACCTGTTATATCTGTATTTATGGTAGACAATGGCTATAGACATCGTAGTTCGAAAAAAAAATCTCAACAAGGACGCTCGGTAGCTTATAATCATGCCACATTTCTTTTTATAATGAAAAAAGAGCATTTAGTTATTTAATTGGAACGTGGAATGATTTGTTTTTCTCACTTTTTTTCCTTTTATTCCAATAATTTAATATAATTTAATCTACTAAACATTTTAAAATAAATTATAGTAGATAACTATAATAATTTAATAATAATTAAAATTTAAAAATCATTTATTCATGTAGGACCTTTCAGCCGCTTATGAACGTCAAATTTATTAAATTATAACTTTTCCCTACCATACAGTTCAGTATATATGTAGATCCAATTGAGAAGAACTGGTAAGAAAGTAGAAGCCAGTTTATTTGCAACGTAATAAAAGCTATTTTTTATTACCTTAGCGATTGTGACGTCACTGCGCTGTATGTATATATGTCACAGATGAACGGTATAGCGAATCACACGTCATTACCGCTACACTATTAGGGTGACAATGTTGTGGCCGAGCGTGCCCAATGCGGGCTGCGCGTGAGTCCAACAGATGACAATCCGAGACATCGTCGCGGTGGTACGGCCACAGACAAACTTACACAATTGCACATAACATTGCAATAGTATCAATAATACAAAATGTATGTATTTGTATTCTTATTATTATAATAATTAATAGCTGTTATAGCAATTTCGTCCGCGTGGAATTTAACTTTATTTTTGCCAATAAAAGTCCCGTCAAAATTGGTCCAGCCATTTAAGAGATTAGGAACAAACAGACAGACAAAAATTGTAATGTGTGTAACGCATTTATATTCATATGCGTGTAGTAAAAAACGGATATTTCAATATTATAAACAGACACTCCAATTTTATTTATATATATATAAATGTATATATAACTGCTATAAATACAAAGATAAGTTTAAAAATATAGTTTTTTTTAATACATTTCACAATAAGTACAGACACGTTTCAGCTCACTCCGCTGTCAAAATGAACTCGATATACATCGCACTAACTCCGAATATGGTCGTACCACCTTCATCAAAGCTATCTACATCAATTATTACTTCACACTACATTGGTACTGGTGTCTGTATATTGATTATTGTATTGCATTGCACTGAATGTACTTGCAGTTAAGGCGCCACTTCACTTGGTTTATCGTGAGTATCATTACTTGGCGGAACATTCCGATAATGTGTTATGTATCGGACGCTTCAATTTTGGAAAATGAACTCTAACGTTAGAACAGTAATGTTCATTTTTAATTTAATTACTGTGTTAAGGCCCTATTTCATTTGCTTTATCCTGAGGATCATTATTTGTAAGAACATACCAATAATGTGTAATATATCGCAGGCTTCATTTTTGGAAAATGAATTCTAAAATTAGAACAATAAAGTCGATTTTTACTTTTTCTGCAGTCTAAGTTAAGTATGCGTATGACCAGTTAGATTTTTGATTCATTTATTGAGGTAGGCTTCTCACTTGCAAGTGTGCAATGTCTGTCTCTTACCACCTACATACTTATTTACTACCCATCACCGCTTTTATCATATTGCCCCTAATTTTAGGGTCCTTTTTATGGAGTAGGGAATTTATAAAAAAATGGACCCTAAAATCAGCCTAAACTCATCTGGGCTAACGGGATATGCAGGCGACCAACCATTAGAAGACCATGTGAAACATTTAACACAGGCGAGGG